CAAAATCAGGAAATGAACTACTAACAGCATGCTGTTGCATCCGTGAATTGCATAAACGTGCCCTGCTAGAGGAGCCAGACACAGTAAGCAGCAGCCTGTAGGATTCTATTTAGACAAAATTCGGGAACAGCTCAAAACATTGATGACAGATCAGTCATTGCCTTTGAGGCAGGGGTGGGGCCTGACTGGGAAGGAGCCTAGGGGAAGCTTCTGGGGGACAGTAGTGTCCTCGTGTTTTGGGGGAGGAGTCAGTCACCCACATGTGTACATCTTTGTCCAGACTTGGTATCTGTACACGTGAAATTTGCTAATTTCTCTGTTTGTAAAGTCTCTACCCCGCCACGCCCATTAAACCAACATTGAGCTCTAGCTAATGATCCCCATGTTAAAGTGTATAAGGATGGTGTGTGGCAATGTATACAATTTAAAAATAAGATGGATTGGTGGTGGCCAGAGGGAGGAGTGAGTGGATAGACAGGTTATAAGCCAAGCAGAAGGCTTGGGTGGATGGGGGTTTACTGTGGAATATTTGCCAACATTGCTTTATGTATGAACATTTTCATGATACAAGATTGAAAAATAAAACACGGTAAGTTGAACAGATGAGTCTCTACAGTACCTAACATTTGTTATAGTCAATAAGATGATCTAAAGGTGAATGGATAGAAAATTACTCACTGCTTTTTACACTATAGGAGTTCCTCCTTATCTGTGAGGGATGTGTTCCAAGATGCTCAATAGATGTTGGAAACTCCATATATGCTATGCTTTTTTCTATATATATACATACCTGTTGTAAAATTTAATTTATAAAACAGGCACAGTAAGAGTAACAACAGCTAATAATAAGTAATATAGTAAAAGTTATGTGAATATGATAAACGTATTTTCAGGCTGTGGTTAACCAGGTAACTGAAACTGGGGTCCATGGGCACTGGTCAGGGGGAGCTGTGGTAGTTCAAAGGGGGTGATAGATGGGGAGGGTACAGAAAGACCCCTGAGTATGGGGGCATGGGAGCTGGGCAAGACTGAATCTTGGCTAGACCTGGAAGGGAAGCCAGCTGGTGGGACCCCTTCTTCAGGGCACAGAGCGGGAACCAGGGGTGGGTGGTCCAGGACTGTCGCCTGCTCCCTGGGGCCTCACTGGAAGCTGTGTGTTCGAACATATTTCATCTCTGGCCCCCTCAGGAAAGCTGGCGTTTGTATTTAATTGGGTTAGGCTGCTTGCTAGAAGAACCGAATCCTGACTTTCCCTGCATGTTTGTAACATTAAGCCTGAACCCTCAGAGATCACACAGTGACCTGCAGCGTGGCCAGGTATGAAGGATTTAATGGTAGATGGAGCCCGAGATATTTGTGTTCTAACCTTACAACACTCACTGGTATGTCATCTGGGTGTATCCCTTCAATCTCTGCTCACCTTAGTTGCTTTATCTGTACAATGGAGACGAAGGTATTTAACCTGCAGGGTTGACCTTGGGACTGTAAATTATGACTGTATCCACTGCATATGACCAAACCCAAGGCTGTGCCTCCATCTCCTGGGGCTTTGGGCAGGTTGTTCAGGTTCTCCTCCTTGAAATACTACTCACCCTATGTGTACGTGGGGTCCACATCCGTGGATTCAACCAGCTCCATCTCAAAAATATTTGACATAATATTGCATCTGTATGGAGTATGTGCAGGCATTGTTTATAAATTTATGTATCATTTATGCTATATGTATACTATTTATGTATCATGTATGCTATGTTAAGCATTATAGGTAACCTAGAGATAATTTAAAGCATATAGGAGGATGTATGTAGGTTATATGCAAGTGTTATGCCATTTTTTATAATGAACATGAGCATCCATGAACTTTGGTATCTCTTGGAGGTCCTGGAGTGCCTTGAGGATAACAAGGATTATTTGCTTTTCTTGACCGTGAGGAAGCCCCTCTGTTGGGTCTCTCCCAATCCTTGACTGCTGTTTCTTATTACTTATGTTTTTATTAGAACTTGTTTGCTGGACATAAAGTTTACATTCATCTTAGGGGGTAGGTACATGTACTTAACGCATCGTGAGTCTCCTAATTTCTCTCCCCTCCCCCACCCTCCTCCCTCTCTCTGTCTCTAGACCCCCCAGCCCCATTTTCATTATTATTACTACTACTACCATTATTATAACATATAATAATTCCATTCATCGTGGGTAGTTGGCACATGTACATAACACCCCTTCTTAGTCTCTCTTGCTGAACTCTCATCTTCCGGTCACTCATGACCTTCCCAGTCTTCAGACTCTTCTCCGCTCTCTTTATAATCTACACCTATCTGATTTCATTTTACTGTGTCTAAAGCCAATCCTTGATGGCTCCCCAGATAGCTCTATCTCCAGGCTTCCTTCAGTGTCAGTGACACCTGGCTTCCCAGTTGCTCAAGCCAAAACTCTTGGAGTCATCCATATTATTTCTCTTCTGCACTTAACAATAAATCTTGTTGCTTTAAAGAGCAACAATTGTCCTCCATGGGACAATTCCTCTCCATCCTCATGATTAGCAGCCTGACCCCAACCCCTAGCTTCTCTCCTTATGGTCACCTTTCTTCTTAACTCACTGCTCGGTTTATTGTCTTGACCGTCTAAACTCTGTTTCCACTGCGGTGTTGTCTTTAAAACCAAAGCATCATGGTTTGCTTCATCTCAGAGGTAGCTTCAGGATAAAACCCAATGTCCACAAGACTCCTACAAGGCCCACGTCCACTGATCTCATGTCCTGCTGCCCACTCTGGTCACTATGTTCCTTCTATTGGTTTCTGACTGAGCAAATGAGCTCCAGGTTTCCCCTAGGTCACACACTTTGCTGGGACTGTTCTTCTCTTGGTGTGAGATCTCTCACTTCTCTAGGGCTCTCCTCAAATTTCACCTTATCAGAGAGACCGTCCCTGATTGCCTCTTGGGCAGCCACATTCTTCTCTATCTCTTTGCTTTGTTTTAGCTCTTTGTGTTCCTCATGCCTGCCATTATATTTATTTGAACATTAAAATTTTTATATGCCTTCCTGTTTGAACGTGAGCCCCTGTGACAACGGGGACATAGAGCATTTTCTTCGTGGCTGTTCTCTGACACATACACAGGAACTTAAGTTGTCTGTAAAGATTCACACAATGGACGAAGGAGAGAAAAAGCACTGAACTCTGTGTCTTGAAAATTCACCCACAAAATTGCATAATAATGGTCCTTGATGGAGAAAGGGGCGGAATTCAAGGGGACTGGTCTGCATGTTGGCTCCAGAGTGGAAAAACTAATCTGTGAGCTGTTTTCTCCTGGGTGTGACTTAGAGTTTGCTTCTGAGACTTGGGAACTGGAGTGTCACATACCCCAGAAATTACTGCCCCCATTTCCTGGCCAATAGGTCAATTCTGTTTCCCTCCCTGTCTGGTTGCCCATCCCCTGCTTCTGCTTGGCTGAGTTTCTTCATACTGACCACTATGGCCACTCAGCAAGGACACCCCAAGAGCATGCTGCCCCCTTTTCAGCAGAAGCCTTTAGTGCCACTTATCAGAACTCAGCTGGGATAAGTGCTGCTGGGATATCAGCCCTTCTCATCTCTGCTGGCAGGCTGAGGGGGTCCTGTGGGCCAGGGACAGGAAGCCAGGTCTTTGCTGGAGGCCTTTCTTACAGCCCTTTAAAAAATTACAATACTATGTGATGCGCAAGTATGTTTTTAAGAAGTCATAGTCTATGGAAAGATGTAGGACCCCTTTATCAGAAGGAAGGTTGTAAGTTGTACAATAATACAGTAAATACTGAGTTCCTACTTGGCTCATAATAGAGAGACTGTGTTTGATAAAGTTTAAATACCTGACTGCAAGGAGCAATCAGGGAGAGAGGAGGAAGTTGAGAAACGGGTGACATATACCAACACAGAGGCACCCAGAGAAAGAGGGGCCAGGGGGAGGGAGAAAAGGAGGACAGGGAGAGGGAGAAAGAGAGAGGAGGGCGAGAGGGAGGAGAGAGAAAAGAATTAAGAGGGACAGGAAGACGAATAGAGGAGCTAGAGAGAAAAGAGGCAGGAAAATAAGAGGAAAGGAGATAAAGAGAAAAAAGAAAAGAGACAGGAGAGAGAGAGAGAGAGAGAGAGAGAGAGAGAGAGAGAGAGAGAGAGAGAATGGGAAAGGGGAGAAATCAAACAACACTTTACACTTGACCAAGAGTGATCCCAAGTTTCAAGTTGATGATTTTTGTTTTCCTATTAACCTGATATGATCCCCAGTATTGCTCTCCCCATCTTGTTCTGTCTGATTTTACTATATTCTGTTTTGTTTGATAATATCAAGTTTGAGGGTATAGGCAACCACTTTGAAGGCAATAAGATTTACTATGATGCCCATTATGGTTTGACTATTATCTTCTTTTGAAGTCCTGTAAGGTCTCCAGTGTAGGCTTTATTGGTCTTGTTCTGTACTGTTTTGATCAATTCTATTATACCTGATGATATAGGCAACTTTTTAAAAAAATAGCAAGAGGCACAAGGGTAACCATTTTAGATCACCTGATATTCTATTTTTACATCATGTACCATGCCCATCCTTTTGTTCTAACCGACTCTGTTTTGTTTAGCCACGTTAGGTTTTATTCTCTCCAAAAAATAATAAGAATTGTGGGAGTAAAAAAAACCCAAAAAGTGTAATTGTTATTAAAAAGAGAGGAAAGGGAGGTGGTCTAAGGGATATAACTGCATGTATGTTTAAGTGTGTAGCAGGAAATCCATATTACTGAACTTTTGTTGGATCATTGATCAGCACTGTCTGCAGTCTCATTGTATGAATGTTCACTTTACATGCTTTAATTTTATAATTTGGACAACTATTTCAAAGATGATAATATGAAACCTATTAACAAGTGATATTTTACTGTATTTTTTTTCCTTGAAATTCTATATTATTTGTACCCTTTTCCTGCTTTTTAAAATTTTATTTCCTTTCTTTTTTTCTCTCTTTAAATAAAAAAAAAAAAAGAAGCACCCTCTGATGGGCAGAGTCCAGCCTCCTGTGAGTTACAGCTGAGGTGGCTTACTTATCAGGATCACAGAGCAAGTTGGGGTGCACTCCCTTGGAAGCCCACACTTCAGAGCTTAACCTTCCTCCCTCTGGCTACATCCACCCTGGAGATTTTCACAGCGTGCCCCTGTTGAGGAGCAGGAAGCCGTTCCCTGGGGTGCCTTGCAAAGGGACCAGGGAGGCAGAAATGGACCAGGAGGCGGTGACTCCGGGGGGCTTTATCTTCAGGCAGAGCAGCTCCTGATTTCTGTATTGCAGACTTATGTGCTATCCTGATGGACACAAGAGGGCACTAATCCTATCGGTGCAGCAACTACAGTCTTTCACGTTGGAACTTGGTCCAATTAGTAAAGATGCTCTACTCTAGCCCCGTTGGATGAAAGGAGTTAAGGACCACTCTGAATAAAACAATTAAAACAGGGCCTGGCGTGAAGTGGTTATTTTTAGGTTGCTGCAGGGAAAAAGAATTGAGGAAAATCTCGGAGAAGCTACAGACGGATTCTTGCATGCAGGACCCACTGAAGCTAGTGTTCTTCATGCTTTTTGGAGCCTGGAGGTGGAGCATCCTCGAGGCAGAAACTGGTGGATTTTTACGGTAATGGTCCATACTTAATGTGACTCTATTCACTTGGCCTCAGGTCTCTTCCCTTGTTCTGTTCTGCCTTTTCTCTCTTGTATACTTTTTGCTCATCTGCTGGCCCTCACCTCTCGTCTTTTCTGAGGTCCTCCGTAAAACACAGCATTGTGTTTTTGGCTAAATTCCCAGGTGACATGGTGGGCCAGTCTAGCTCCTCGTAGGGCTCTCCTCAGTAGCAAATTCATTCTTTCACACACGTGTCTGTTTTCTGACCATTTCACCATCACTTGTATCTCATGGGAAACTATGTTTCCCCTTCAATTTTCCATTCTTTTTTTTTTCTCGTCTTTTTCGTTTTTATCGGTACCAGGGATCGAACTCACGACCGCACACTGGCAAGGCAGGCGCTTATGCGGCTGAGCTAAATCCCCAGCCCCAAATTTTCCATTCTTTACCATGAGTTTAGGTAGCATAGACTCTCCTTGTGTTAGGCGACTTTCCACTGAGATAGTCGGCTTCCCAGGAGAAGAGACTCGTTTTGGTCCATAATATTAGGTGTTTCAGGCCATGGCTGATTTGCTCTGTTGCTTTGGGCCTGGGGTGGCAAATTATTGTTTGCAGGAGCATGGAACAGCAAAGTCTTTCACCTCATGACTGGAAGAATAAAAGAAAGAGGGAGAGTGGAGGCGAGATCCCTACTACGACCCTCATGAGCACCCCCTTGGTGAACAAAAGACCTTCCAATGGACCTCTCTTCAAGGTGCCACCACCTCCCAAAGGCGCCACACTGGGGACTAAGCCTTTAACACATGAGCCTTTGGGGACACAACTCAGATCCAAACTGCAGCACCACCTCAGACCTTGGCCACCCGGGGATGGGTTTAGAGAAAGGCAGGTGCTCCAGTTAGGCTAATGAAAGAGTGGCCGTTTTTCCTGTCTTGGACCATACAGTGTAGAAGTACAGATTTCAGTTGATTACCTGGAGATTTTGGGCTATCAGGAGGAGACTAAGGATGACATTACCACCATATGAGACAGGAGAGAGAAAATGAGGGAGAGAGGAGAGGAAGAGAAAGAGAAAGAGAAAGAGAAAGAGACAGACAGAGAGAGAGAGAGAGAGAGAGAGAGAGAGAGAGAGAGAGAGAGAGAGAGAGAAGGTCCTGGTTGATATTATTATGAGATAATTCAAGTTACTGGATCAAGTCGCATTTGCAGCTAGAGCCATTTCTGAACACCTAAGGTTTTTTCCATATTCCTTTCCTTCAGGCAGTTTTAGTTGGACACTTCATTGGGTACTTTAATTGGATCACTTGCAACCCAGAGTACCCTGAGACACTATCCAGCCAGCTAGCATTAAGAGGGGTCTTCTCCATGCTTTGCTTCACAAGCAGTAACAATGACCTTGTTCCAGACAGCCTATGCTAAAGCTGCATTTCACTGTGAAGGACATATATCACATATGCAATGACAATAAACAATCACATATGCAATGACAATAAACGGTGGTCACCCTATTGTCACAGATCAGGGTGGATGGTACAACAGAGTTCAGAGCTAATATTTACATATCTTTATGTGCTTGGGCAGAGGACACTACCAGAGGGCTATGAGCACTGGGTGTTGTGGCAATAGGATCTGTTTGCTTCTTTTGCACTGTGCTGTAGTCTTGCAGTGAACCTTAATTAGTCCAGTGATCAAGAGGGATTAACGTAAGTGCTTTGCTGGGAGAGGTCCTGGAAGCCGTCAGGAGCACTTAGCAGGCGCTGGCTTTGGGCAGCTGAGTGGCTGCGCAGGGAGTGGAGGAGAAAGCTTGCTGAGGTTTCTGTGTGCACAGAGATCTACCTACCTCTGCCCACGTAAGCTCACCCTGGGCGGTGAGCCGGTCAGAGAAGCCAGGAGAAGTGTGCCAGTGCCAGCCCCTTCCACAAACGATCTAGGGGTCCTGGATCCTTGATCCAGCCAGGAAGGGTATTTCAGGAGCCCATTTCTCCGTCTTACAGAGATGAGAAAAACAAGGCCCTTTCCTCTCAGGGCTCCAGAAGCTGAACATTAAGAAACCATTGCAAATGGAGAAATTGCTCAGAATGAGCGCTAATGTCCTATTAAAAAGAGGCTGCTGCTTTGGCTGTAACCTCTAATTCAACCGCTGTTTCCTGAGAACCGTGTTAATGTGATTTGAGCTCATTACCTCTTGCTGCCTGGGGGCCTGGTCCAGAACCATCTCAGGCTCCTGCCCTTCTGTGTTGGCAGCAGCACAGGAATCCCTGCTTCTCTTTCTTGGCAGGGGCATTCTGGAGGCCCAAGTGGCACACAACCATCAATCAGGCAGCAAAGTGCTGTTGAGTGGCCACTCTGTGCCTGACCTAGGACTACGTGCTGAGGAGGTAGGGATGACAGAGACCATGGACCAAAAAGACTTACAAAGTCTTGTTACGTGCCTTTGAGAAGTGTGGCATTTGTCTCAGAAGCCAGAACAAGTGTGGTTAAGACAAGAAGGAACTGGGGACCAGCACCATATAGAATGTACTCATCATTAGTTTATTCCTTTGGGGTACTGGGGATGTGCTGGTGAATAAGACATCTCTGCTTCCCATGCCATGGGGCTCATATTCTTTTAGGCAGACATTAAATAAACAAATACTAAGTGATGGGTTTAACTATGATTATCAGGTCTGTGATTGTAGTCAGGATTGTGAGGAGAACAATTAGAGTCAGACACAGAATTTATAATATTATTTTATGATGGTCACCCAGAGTTAACACAAAATGAAGGAAATCTGTCCACAACAGTGAAGACTCAGAATATTTATCCAAGGGCCTGGATCCCACAGCAATGTCCTGCATGAGTCCAGATGAAAACCTAGAGCCCCTGACAAGCCTTTTATGAGTCCAGCTGGAGTCCAGGACTCACGCCAGTCTGTTTTACAGGTCTGCACTGAGAAGGCCCAAAAGTCAGTGAAGCCAGGAAGTCTATACCAGCAGGGTGAAGGAGCTGTGCTGGTAGGTTGAGGGTTCTATGCTGGAGAGGAGAAGTCACACTCACAACAAAGACCAGGGCTGTCCTAAAAAGCACCACAGCCATCCTCAGTGACATGGAGGTTCTGAGCTCCTCTGACAAAGAGAACAGTTGAGTACATGCCACAAAGCCAGCATGACAACCTTCTCCTGGAGACTAAACAGAACACATCTTTCTCTCCAGAGCCAATGCTTGTCATTTATTGTTAATGCTCGCTGTAAGCACCAGAGCTCCCCCAAAGTGAATCACAGCCACTCTTATCAACAAGATCCCGAGCTCCTCTGATGACAATGGTGGAACTCACACTGGGGAAGCTAGTCATGATGAGCTCCTCCAGGAGAACCAACGCCTCAAACAGCAACACTTAGAGAAGCTCACAGTGCCTCTGATCTTCTCCACGTCCCTATTTATGCTGACAACTTTCCTCAGGTGGCCATCTACACTCAGCACCATGCTAATTTAATTCAGCTGACATTATGTCATCACCGGTTTTTAATCCATAGCAATGATGGATGAATAGAGAGAATGAAAAGGATAGTAGAGTGGGGCTGGGAGGTGGTCTGGAAAAGCTTTCTAGGGAACCATCAGAAGAACGAGCAAGAAATAACAAAGCAAAGGGGAAGAAGAACTTTGCGGGTGAAAGGAAGAACTGGTGCTCATTGAGAAGTCCCTGGGGCTGGGCAGAGAGCACAGAGTAGAGAGGGGACAGTACCAGATCAAGCAGGATTGCTTGCTGCCTCGGTTACTGTACGGTGCTCGGCGCCAGTAGCTGAGTCAGGAGACCCTGGTTTTAGTCTCCTCCTCTTTCACCAACTGGGTGTCCTCAGATGAGATGGTACACGGCACTGAATCTCATGTTCTTGGTGGAAAGTGATTACTAATTATTGTAAACCCAAAAATCGAGTTCAGTCGTCTAAGTGTTGTCATGCTCTTTCTAGTTGTCCTCTCAATCCAAAAGGTTATATTTGTAATCCCATTCAGACGTTATTGGAATTCCAGCCGGTCAATTCCAATCTACCACCACCAATGCAAAAAGACACCAAGACATATTCCAAGTTAAGGGCAGCCAAGGGGACCCAAGTCCATTTCCCCACGAGGACATGCGGACAAAAGGCCAGGATCCTAGGCCCCTCCTAGTGTTTATTATCTTGTGAAGGAAAGGGAGGGGTCGCTTAGGGATGATGACAGGATGTTGGGGATTGCTGAGTAACTTGAGCTGGCTGGCCAGGTGCAAGGAAGTCATCTCTGTAATTTGCAGAAATAAAGACAGGCAGAAGGATCAATTTACACAACCTGATTAAGGTAGCAGGGGAATTGTTTTGGGGGGCTGTTGCTTTGGTTTTTGATGTGCAAACTCTTGTGCCCTGGGGAGTCATACTCTCTTATCTCGAGGCTCCTTCCCAGTTGACATCCCCAGAGTCTGCTCTGCGTCTAGTCTCACCAGCTCAATCCTTTAATGTGGAGGGCACCATGCACTGACATTCCTTGAGCTCTTTGCTCTGAGTCTTGCCAGCTCAATCTTGTAATGTGGAGGGCATCATGCGAGGAAACGGGGTTGCCTGACGGCCAGACTTTGCATATTAACACCTCGGCTAGCCTTATTTGCAATGCTTACAGCCAATTGCAGAGAGAAGGAAATACCCTAACCAGCCTTTAAAATATCAGTATAAGGAAATGAGTCCCCAAGTAATCAAAGTCACAGCAATTGTTTTGGATCCAAAGGGAGTCACCAGAGTTGTCTCTCACATCTGTGATGGCTGCACATTAGCACCTGGGCTAGCCTTGTTTGCCATGCTCAGAGTTAACTGAAGAGAAGGAAATACCCTAG